CCAGGAACTGAGCTGCACATAGGACCAGGAGGAGAAGGGAAGCATGTTGGCTGGGCTGGCCACACTATGCACGGCGGGGAGGGATCCTGGGCTACTTGTATGGAAGGTGTAAGCCATAGGGCAGGCTCCAATCTTGCAGCAAACGGCCCTTGGCAGTTGGGCAGCCCTGCTCCACAAAATTAATCTCAAGAAAACATGACTGGAATAAACACAACGCTGAACAACACAGACCCAAATTGGCCTTCAGTTACATGGGGGCATACTATACTAAATTCAAACAGGCCAGTCTCTTAAGGTTTATTGCCACATTCAGTCAGTACAAAGGGAACTTAAAATGACATAAAAATTAACCTGTGCCCCTCTCATTTTGGGTTAGTTCTGTACACCTGAGGCCAGGGGCAGGCAACCTTTTCTCGCTGCAGGCCAGAATGACCCATCCAAAGTCAGAAGTGGATGGGAGGGCAGGTGCTAGTACCACGCCAGTGTTTATCTTTGCCGCAGCCGGTGCCTGCCCTGTAGTGCCTAATGCCACATTGATGGGCTAGATCCAGCCATAGGGTATAAGTTGCCAACCCCTGACTTAGGCTATTAGATAAAAGAGGATACCTCTTCCAGCCATTTTTAGAACCCAGCCCTCCTCTATTTTACTTACAAGTGGTTCAATCAAAATACTTTGTAAAGTGAGCAACACATTAGCTTTTCCTCTTTTATCCTCTCCAGCAAATTATACCTTCCTGCACATTTTTGTTACTAAGTAACAGGTAACTGTTAGTTAAATGTTAGGTCCAAAAAATTGTACCAAATGTCTGGCACACTTCCCTGATGGGTAGTACATTTTTATGCAGAAATGTATATACACAGAATACACTATACATATGGTATATTCAGGGGAGAAGATGGACAGTAAGTCTTCAGATAGCTAGTTGAGTCAAAGGTGACAAGTTGTACTGGTCTGAAAGATTAAGAAATTTAGGCAGGTAGATGATATAATACACTTGAGAAGTTGGCATGCCTTAAAGTTAAAACCAACTTCAGATCATGGGCCGTGATTCATTTTGATGCATTTAAGCAATTAAAAGACATTGGTTCACCTATAAGTACATTCAAATCTCTCTCACAAGAAAAGTTTTACTGGGATATGTTGAAACATAACACTTGGCGTGCACACACACACACATTATATACATATATATAGTACATTTTGGCTTCAAATGCTGGGCAAACATTAGTTTATAATTTCAGGCTGCAGAACAGATGATAAGGAAATGATTATTTGGGGTTTTCATATGTAAAACCATTTGCTTTAGAAGGAAGCTTTCACATTTTGGTTCAAGAAGCAATCCCTTGTAAATTGTGGCATATTTTTACAGAGACATTTTGTTAGGAGCCAGGAAATATATTCAATCTTATTCCCTCACTCTTCTGTACTTTTCCATCAGTACAAGAGCCAAAATTAATACAAAATCCAGTAGACCAAATTACTGGTATATTTGTAGTTTGCTACTTTCCCACTTAAGAAATAGGTGAATATTTGCTGCTGTGACTCTTAATCTTTCCTCTTAATTTGGTCCTTCCAGATCCAGCATTTTGGTTGATTTTCACAAAATTCTTTCCTGTTTGTCAAGGCCTTTGCAGTAATGACACGTCAAGGACAAAATGCGACATTCTAGGTGTGAACTATCTAGCACTAGACTGTCACCTTATCCCTCTTGGATGCTATTTCTCTGCACATGGACTGCCTTTTCCAGCTCTGTACCACCCAGTAACCTTAGCTTAAAAAATAGTCACCCTCTACAGCTCTCCCCATTCCTCACAGAAACACAGCTTAGCTGCCTTCCCAGCACATTTCCCTATGGAATCCTGAGTGTCCACACAGGAACAGTGTAGGGGTGGAGCAGGCTGGAAAGAGCGTGAAAAGGCCAAGCTCTGCATCTTTCCATCACGAACCAGAAGAGTTTAAAATAGAAACGCAGTACAGACATAGCATGTTGTTACCCAACAGAATCCTTCCATAACAGGATTCCCTTTTAAAAGAGTGGTTTTGTATGGACAGCTGTACTCAAGGGAAGTCGTCTTAGCTCAGGTCCTTTGGAGCCACACTGCCAGAAACCAAGGCCAACGCTGTAAACTGGAGGTGCTACAGAGATAAACTTCCCTGGCCTTTGGTCTGCACAGAAGTTAGGGAGGGTCCTTCCACAGAGACAGGAGATTACCCTGTTAGTGCCACTGCTGGAGCCCCAGGAGGCCCCCAGGATCCCAGGTAAGGCTGATGGGGCCAGCCCAGGCACTAGCCCCAGCCTCTCCTAACCCACCTGGGGCAAGCTGCCCCATGCCAGAGCACATGTGCATGGGTGTTCCCTGGGCACAAGTCGCAGTGATACATATTGTGCCACTGTTGTTTGTCCCCAGGAAAATGCACATACCTTCACATCTGGAACCAGCCTATCAGATCTCACAAAGGATGGATCCCTTGTATCACTCATCTGTCAGATTCAGACGATACATTTTCCTTTAGTACAAAAAACCCTCCACTCAAGCTATCATGAAATTCACCTCTGCTCTGTCGCAGATGACTGATCACTGTTAGTATTTAGCTACTGCTCCCTCTCCCATCCTTACCCCTAGTCTGTACCAAACTGAACTGTGAACACAACATATCACATTTTCCATGTTCCATTCCCTCCAAATGTGGCCCAACATGAAATACCCCCTTTCCACACTATAGCACATTCAAGATAAATCCCAAAAGACATTCAGTGCCCAGAGAAGTTGCAAATATCAACTCTGTCATATTCAGAAGTGGAACAGAACTCACTTATCTCGCCATTAGCTTCCTTGATTCAGCCACAAGTCCCGCCTCCTCCCCACCACAAGTATACACATTCTTATTACGGAAGCACTAAACATGTCTTTTATCCCTGCTGTAAACCTCTAACTTGCTATTCTGCATAAGGACAACCCCATTTGATCCTTCATAAAGGGATGTATTCTCACAGCTGTCTAGCACTGAGACACACACAACCTCCCCGCCACTCATTAGCCAAGTGGAAAACGAAACCCAGGCTCTTGTTTGCTAAAGGTGAAAAGAGTTACCCAGGTACTGAGCCATCTTTCAATACCCAGGAAATGCTGCAAGACATTCCTATACATGCCAGAATACATATATCAAGGAAGGTCTTCACCATCACCAGCAGTTCCTCAACTGGTATTCCCCTACCAACCCTACCCATACTGGTTTCTTAAATAGAAGAAGTACCCACCCTGTTCTTCTACCCCTCGCACCAAAACTTCTCTTTCCTTTACATTTCCCCCTGGCAGCTTTCCTATTTGTACTATACCAGAAAGGTTTGGAGCATAACTGCATACACTGACAGCCAGGATGATACATTTGCAGGGATGGTGAGGCACACCCTGGACAAAAGCACCTTCTTTCTTTTCAAGTCAAAATAAGCACATCTTTAGAATTAATTTTTGATATACATATGATGGACCCATAAACTGCCACCTCCACTCACAGCAGCAACCACTGCAAGCAGTGCTACCAACTTGACCGGAATTGCTAACACCACCTAGCATCTATATCAGATAAGCATGTCTGGGCATGGATCATGAAAGACGCTTTTGTTTCTAAGGGTTACCATTATAATCTATTTCATTTTTATTTTTAATGGTTCATTTTGTTGATACCTTTATGAATAAATTCCTTCATTTTTGATTCTGTCAGTTGAAATTTTACATTGAAACAATAACATTAAAAGAAAGAACCTAGTGCCAGTTCCTGCAATACTCCTCTGGAGCCTCATTCAGATCATTTCATTGCCCTTTATTTGCCTGTCCTTCAGGCAGCTTAGTCATGTGATGATGCACTTATCCAGCCAATTTGTGTTGTTTTTAAATAACAGTTTACCTCGCTTTGCTTATTCTGTATATTCCTTGCACTTAAACAGATTTGTTTCCTCAGTTCATCTTCATCTACTCTTAATTTAGGCAAAAGGACATCCTTTTTTAATGCTAAATTAAAACAACTTCCCAAAGCATTTTTTCTACTTAGCTTAAAGTCCTGTCTGTCTGGTCAGCTTTGAATCCAGGGGATCAGTACCCCATTGCTTAAATTAAGGGATGACCAAAGAATTCAACGTTTCTAACTAAATCAAACCCACCCTCATCACAACAGTTGCAGACTTTGGTACTACTATGCTCTTTCCTGCACTTGCCTAAGCAAGGGATGGGGCAGAAGACATATTAGATGTGCAACAATCCTAACCATTGACTGTCCCAAACTGCCACGTTTCTTAACTCTCACTGAAGTGGATAACTGCCTCAAGTCCTAAAGAACAATAGGAGTTTGAAGACTTAATTCTTTACTGTCATCCACATGCACACCTGCATTTGCCATGTAAAGAAATCTGATATGGTAGAGTTGTTCATTCACTCTGTACAGGTGTAAATAATTACACAAGTTGCAAGGCAACGGTGGGGAGGAAACAAAGGGAAGGGGAGGGAAGGGAAATCAGGCCTAGAGGGTTGTCTACAACCAGATGCAATTTAGATAACTGCTGCACATTCTAGATTGGTTTGGTTGTGAACTATTGTACCCAAGAAATAACCCAAGATAAAATAATAAAAAAAACTGTATATTTTTTTAAACATAAACATGACAATGTTTTTATTTTCCCCTCACTTCAAGAATCCACTTTCCATATTTAGTTATACACAGGGAAGGAAGATTTGGGTAACAACAGATTGCCTAAAAATATTTTTGCAGCACTTAGCAAGATCTGTTGGATGATAATTTTTATTGAGCCAACTTTGTAGTTAGGAAAGCTGTCAGTCAAGGTTTTGAGCACAAAATATCCTTGTTGCACATATAACATCTCTGCTGTTGCCAAGAGCAAACCAAAGATGGATTCCAATATTCTGATTTAAAAAGTCATGGGTCCAAGACGTCTTTGGACTTGGCCCATAGGAAGAGATAACCCTCTCATCTTACAGTACATCAAAGTAATTTTATGGATGACTATGGATCTCTATTCCATCTGAATGTAGGTGACAGGAAGTTCTGAACAGCCATTAAAATGGTTTTTTTCAAAAATGGGTTTTAAATCCCTGGCTACACCTCTACAAAAAAAAGAGATTAGTGTACCTAAATGACAACTGAATCTAAATAATAGTACTCTGTGAATATGGACCATAGCACATTTTTGAAGAGTTGCCAACTCAGTACAAACCTAGTGCTTTATTTATATTGAGAGGCATTGAATCTTCTGAATGTTGACTCATGCCTGATGCATAACCTGCCAAGTTTATTAAGCACCATATTATGTTGTTTATAAATTAATATTTTAGTAACAAGAGAAACTACATATTTATTAAGAGTGTATAAGAAATTATATAAAAATATACCATTCTCATAAGGTACCTTAATATAATATGTATTACTATATGCCCCTTAATACATATAGTAAAATGTTAATTTTAAATTTTAAAATAGCCTTTAAATAAAGTAACTTCTATAATCTCCAGAAGGTAAATACATTTAGTTCTACTATTTATGAACAAAGATAACATACAGCACCAACATTAGGTCAACACAATTAAGTACTTAAATTTTATTATGCTTCAGAGTGGGTCAACCCCCCCTCCCCAGTTTCTGAAAAAACAGGAGGGTTAAATGTTTATATTATATATTCAAAATATGTTTAGCTTCCTAGAATGTACCAATATTGCTGCTAATCTTATGATGACTAAACCTTTAAAAAAAACCCAACCCTTCTTTCCTACAAAACATTTAACTTCCATGTCACAAGCATTTTACCTTCATTTCTCATTACCTCTACTATGGTTTTCATAGCCAAATTAAAAACAAAACAAAACAAAACAAAAAAAATGATCATCAACCCTTACAGTGAATACATCATATGTTGTACTATAAAGGCATCCCTATTAAATAACAACTTAGTTTACATATTTAACATCCAATATTTGTTTCTTGAAAAACAGGCAAAATATGTCTGTCTGCCAGAAAGTAACAAAGTAAGACGAAGCAGAACACTGTGATACATGTGTCGTCATCATTATCAGCAGCCAAAGGAAAACAGAAATGCTTACTAAAAAAATAATTCGTTTCTTTTATAACCTTAACACATTGCTGCCAAGACTTGCTCATTCAAATGGCAAATGACTCAGTCTGGATTAATTTTAGGACAGTTTTAAAAGCATCTCACATTTATTGAAGACATCTTTCTTACGGTTCCAATGAGTCACTTTTTCAACGGTCACTGAATTTTCAATCTGACTCCCCTGGCACATAGAGCTGTACTTACTCATAAAAGGACACCATCAATTTAAATTGTTTTAAACTTGTTTTTAAGCACATCATTCAGTTATCACATATTGGACTCAAATATCACATCTCTAGGAACCTAAAACTGACAATAACTATATACAACAAGAGTGACAGTTAGGTTTTTCATTTATTTCAGTTTGGATAATGGAAATGCAACAAACCAAGGCCACAAATCCAGACCTGTAAAAGTCATTCGGAGGCCTAAATATGCAGAGATGCTCTTAAGACTTTCAGTAAGCATACTGGTGCCTTATTTCCATTGAAATCCTGATACACGGGACATTTCTAGGATACCTCCATGTTATGGCTTTCCCTACCCAGCAGAATCATCCCTTGAAGCCATGGGTCAATGGACAGAATTAAAAAACTTTGGCAGTAAGTTGCCACATATTGGCAAAGAATTATAAAGCAACACTTGCCATATTCACTTTTTGCCTGATGCTGCTCAGTTCAGAGACTGTGGGATATGTGTTTAAGCTGACCGTATCTCTTTAAATTAAAACATACTGTTGAACCATCAGCCCAGAAGCAAACAGATGGCTCAAAACTTTCAAAAAAACTGTATGCAGCTTGGGGGAAGCAACTATGTCTACTTGTATATCTGAATCACACCAACACTGTTTGGCACTCAATGAATAACTGTAAATATAGAAAAGATTGCTCAGATAGAAAGTATGCATACTGAATTAGTTATGGGTGTACTCTTTTTCCAGAGACATGTAACAAACAATTAGTTTTTCCACTCTGAAAAGAAACCAAACACTCACTTGCTCTCCTTAGGTTACTTTACAAAAAAAGTAAGGGTGATGGAACCTAAGCCCTGCTTCCCTCCTGCATTAGTGGATCCTTACACCAGCATAATTTCCCTGAGCACAATGGAGTGGTGAATCAAACCCCTGAAGTTTCTAGTCTTCTTCCAGTTACCCATTAAATCATAGATACAAAACATCGAACTAAAGAGCACAGAATAGCTTCCCTGAGTCAACTTCCCTTCTCATTTACACTAGACCAGCCCCGCCCAAGTCAAATCCATCAACCTGAAAGTCACCAGGTCAAATTCCTCTTCCAGATAAGCTAGTGGAACTACTGTGGCTTATATGTACAAAACTAGAAACAGAATTGAAACCAAGTGTTACACTGCTACAAATCCAAGGAGAATTCAAGAATCTTGATTCATGCAGAGCAATCTGCACCTAAGACGTGAACTTGGGTTCATGAAAACTTGTACTTTTTACATCAGGGGTGACAATGTATTTGGGCAGAGTGCCAAAAATACCAGCAACCTCGACTTGTAAGATGTTGGTGCGCCAGAGGCTGACAGTAGGGGAGCTGGGAGGCACCCAATCCATGTTGGGGCAGCACAGCCCCGGCCCCATCCCTGCTGTTCACCCAGAGGCCTGCATGCCAAGCAAAATGCCTTCACATGGCCTGCTTTGGCACCTGTACCGGGAGTTACCTACTCCTGCTCTATACTATCTCTTATTTCACTAATCTGTAAAGGGGCAGATCCACCCTGCCTTCTATCTTAATTTGTATATGACAGTTCTCCTCAGCCTTTGCTGTATCAGGATGTGCCCACACACCTAGCCTCCCTATTTGGCACTGCCAAAGCGGGTAGGCCAGCAGGTCCCTGACAACCCCCCCCGACCCAGGTGGGACCTACTAAAGAGGCTCGTAACAACCTAGGTCCAAAGATATAGGAAAGAGATGCTTAGCGAACTTCACCAACCAGGCCCCAGGCAGCCCAGCCGCACACCAGGAAACGCTGGGAAAACGGCCTCTCTTCCCATGGCATGGAAGCAACAATTTGTACACGTGTGAATTGTACACAACCTCTCTACCCAGAGAGGCTATACAGTCTCTGTCCTTGGAGGTTTAAGCCCTGGGCTGGCATAGTCTTGGCCGGGATGATCTAGAACAGCGTTTCTCAACCCATGGGTCAAGCCCCAATAGCGGGTAGCAAGAACATACGAAAGGGTTGCGGACAGATTTAAAAAAAAATGAATCAAACTTTTAAAATGGATTCTCCTTGAAAGGAGAAAAACGTGGGAAACCAGGGCTTCGCCCTTGCAGGCTGGCAGAGCGCCAGGCTGCAAGGGGCTGCTTGGGGGCCCCTTGCCAGCGGGTCAGGACCAAGAGGCACCGGGATGGGACTGGCCATCGACATTTACAACCGGGTCCTGACACACGAAACCTTGCGAACCACTGCTCTAGATGGGGAGGCTGCGCTTGGAGAAGGGGGCTGGCCTAGATCAGCGTTTCTCAGCCTGTGGGCTGCGACTCAAATAGTGGGTCGCAAGAGTACACAAACTTTAAAACACAGATTCTCCTCGAAAGGAGAAAAGCGTGGGAAACTGGGGCTTTCCCCTTGCCCCACACACAACGGGTCAGGAGGAGGGCCACTGGGTCTGGACGGGCCACTGATGTTTACAAACGGGTCCTGGTACAAAAAAGGGTCGAGACCCGCTGGGCTACAAGGGGAGGACGCTGCCTGGGGAAGAGGGCTGGCCTACACGAGGTGCCTGGCAGCCCTCACGTGCTCAGATCCCGGCTTCAGACCCGCACCACCTGCCCGGCTCGGGGCTCCCGGGGGCCGCGCTTACCCGTGGTGGAGAGCACGGTGCTGGCGAAGAAGAGCGAGGAGGTGAAGTCCCAGTTCCAGCTGCCCGAGGCGTTGCTGAGCACGGACACGCCGTAGTTGCTGGCCTCCAGCACCCGCGCCAGGAAGCGCTCCAGCTGCGGCTCGCCCAGGCAGGCGTGCTCGTCCAGGAAGCGCCGCTTGAGCTTGGCCAGCTCCTGGCGCAGCAGGTCCTCGGACGGCAGCTCCACGGAGGAGAAGACCACGGCGCCGAAGACCAGGTAGAGCGCGTAGCCCAGCACCAGCAAGCCGAAGCACCAGGCCGAGCGGTGCTGCTCCACCAGCCGCACGCAGGAGCTGCCGGCCAGCGACTGCAGCATCTTCCCCGCGCGCCGCCGCCGCCCCGGCTTCCTGGCCTTGGCTTTGAACGCGAGATGATGTGGCGGCCACGTGACGCCCCGCTCAGGTATCCGGGCCGGGGCCCGCCCCCGTCCCGCCTTCTGCCTCCGGGCTGCTCCTCTGCCGGGAGCGGCCTGAAGGCTTCCTCAGTGCCTGACGATGTGCAGACCTCCCCTCTGCCTGGAGACTTTCCCGCAGCCTGCAGATGTACCGACTTTCCCTCTGCCGGACAAAGCCCTGGCTGAGATGATGTAGATGGGCATGGGCATAGGCATGGTCCTGCTTGGAGCAGGGTGTTGGACTAGATGACCTCCTGAGGGCCCTTCCAGCCCTCATTTTCTGTGTCTGGATGAAGATTTTCCTTCTGCCTGAAGATGTACAGCCTTTCGCCCTGCCCAACAAGGCCTTGGCTGGGATGATACAGATGGGAATGGTCCTGCTTTGAGCAGGCAGATGGACTAGATGACTTCCTGAGGTCTCTTTTAACCCTTATTTTCTATCATTCTGTGAAGACTTTCCCTCTGCCCGGAGACTTTCACTCTGTCTGCAGATGTAGCAACTTTCCCTCTGCCTGGAGATTTTCCCCCTGCCTAAACATGTATCGACTTTCCCTCTGTCTGAAGAAGGGTGTGGGCACCCAAAAGCTTGCATATAATAATTTTTCCAATTCTTTAGTTGATCTGATAAAAGAGATCACATTTCCCAAAAAAACCTCTTGAAATAGGGATGTGAGCAGACAAGGTTCTCAGGGGAAATAAATGTGTTCTTTTATTAGACAAACGAGATACTTAGAAAAGTTGTTCTTTGCAAGCTTTCGGTGCAAACACCCTACTCTTCTTTTTTGAGAAGTTTCCATGTCAAACAGCAAAATTCAGTATCTTCTGTGTTGCGGGGGTATTGGTTGTAGTCCCATTGGTCTAAGGACATTTTGTACCCTAAAGCTTGCAAAGAGCAATCTTCCCAACTATTTAGTTGGTCTAATAAATATCACATCTACCCAACAAATCTTGTCTGCCCTACTGGCAGGGGTTCTCTGGGTAGATGTGATCTCTTTTATTAGAACAACTAAATAGTTAGAAAAGTTGTTCTTTGAAGCTTTTGGGTGCAGACACCCTCCTCTTCTTTTCCATGTTGTGAAGTTTCCATTTCAAACTGCAAAATTCAGTATCTTCTGTGTTTCTGGGTAGTAGCCATGTTGGTCTAATGACATTTTGTACTGAAAGCTTGCAAAGTACAATTTTTACAACTATTTAGTTGGTCTAAAAGAAGATATTATATTTACCCAAAGAACTTTGTTTGCCTATGTCCTTAGACTGACACAGCTACAACCGACACTCCCAACAGGACTGTAAAACTTCAGTACAGGCAAGAGAAATATGGACCAATGACATAGAGAAGAGGAATTATAATGGAATATAAAATAAAAATAAAATAATGACATGCTATAGGGCCTCTTTTATTTATGCAGCCACATAAGAGGGTACACAATGAAATTTTAAAAGGCAACAACTCTGGTCTCTGTAACCTAGAGAAAAAATTCCTAGCAAAGACCAAGGGCTAGAAATTAAAGTGAGATGAAATCATATCTGAGACAAAAGCACAGATTTTTAACAGGGTGATTAAACATTGACATAAGCAACCTAGGGCAGTGGTTGATTCTTCATGTCTAATTTTCATATCAAAACCGGCAGATATGCTGAAGTCAGACACGCATTGTGCTCAATGCAGGGGTAAATAAATGAGATTCAATGGTTTGTTATATAAGAAGGCAGAGGGGAGGGGAGGGCAGGGGATCAACACATTCAAACCCAAGCCCAAGGGCAGTACACTAGTCCCTGGGGGCTTGATGGCCTCCAAGACGGGTCCCAGTGGTACTAGCAGGCACGCGACTGGTCAGGGCGCTGCTCCAGGGCCAGGATCTTGCAGCACTGACAATGTCGTCTGGAGCCAGGGCAGAGCTGCGATCTGCTGCCAGCATGACCTGGGTAGGGGTGTAGGGATCACGGCTTTGCCCCGGCTCCAGACCACACTGTCACTACTGCAAGATCCCAGCCCTGGCCCCAGAGCAGCTCCCCACCCAGCTGTGTACCCTGCCAGTGCTTTTGGGGCTGGTCTCCATGGAAAGCCTGGCCTCATGCTGTCATGGCACTGCCACTGCTGAGGTCTCTGTGGAAACTGGCCACAGTGACACGGGTAGTGGCTGCTGCAAAATGGAGTCCAGCCGCCAGCAAGATCTGCCATTTTCCACACCCCTGCAATAGCACCTAATAGTTATATGTCCAGTGTTGGCCCCCCCCAACTACAAAAAGTATGCGGACAAGTTGGAGAGAGTCCAGTAGAGGGTAGCAAAAATGGTTCAGCGGCTGAGGCACAGGATTTCTGAGGGGAGGCTGAGAAAACTGGGTTTATTTAGTCAGCAGAAGAGAGGACTGGGGGGGGGGGGGGTGGTAGGAGCATTTAACTACCTGAAGGGGGGCAGGCCAAAGCAGATGGAGCTAGACTGTTCTCAGTGGTGGCAGATGACAGAACAAGGAGCAGTGGTCTCAAGTTGCAGCAAGGGAGGTTTAGGTTGGATATTAGGAAAAACTCTCTCACAGGGAGGGTGGTGAAGCCAGGTTACCCAGAGACATTGTGGTATCTCCATCCTTCGATAGTTTTTAAGACCTGGCTCAACAAAGCCCTGGCTGGGATGATCTAGCTGGGGCTAGTCCTGTTTTGGACAGGGGGTTGGGCTAGACTACCTCCTGAGGTCCCTTCCAACCCTCATTTTCTCTGATTCTACAGCATGCGTTCTTCAGCGAGTGATGGTGGACGTTGCAGCTATTCTACTGACTGGTAGCGCATTTTCTCTTACGGCTGTAAAGACCAATGTTAGGCTTGCAAGTCCTGCCACAGTGGTCACAGGTTTACATGGCATTAGGGGCAGCCGTACTGACAGGCTGTTTCCTTCAGTCACATTTCTGTTGTCATGTAAGTGATCATTTCTCATTGTGATATTGGACTCCACAATTGAGAAAGGAGCGCCACTTTGTCCTGTCTCCTGCTAAGGCCTCCCAAAGGTTTGGGTCAGTTCCAAAAGCCTTCATATCCTGCTTGCAGACATCTTTGAAGTGCAATTTTGGGTGCCTAAAAATGGGGGGATGGAGGGGTAACTGTTGCTTTGTGGGTATCCAGCCCATATTAACCTTATATGTCAAATAAACCTTGCTGTGTGTGCCACTGGGCCTGACTTCACTGCTGCAGGAAAGAGCTTATGTGGCACTAAGAGGAGAGGGCCCTTCCTTGCCTGGAGGGCATCCTCAGCACTAGGCTAGAGGCAGGCTTTCCCCTTGCTGCATGCTGTCCTTTCACCACCCTCCTTTCCAGTTTGAAGGGAATTTTGTGGAACGAGAAGTCATCTAGACTGGACACCATCATGTATGGTTTCAACAGGGACTCCAGATGCTTATCCTATTGCCTAGCTTAGCTTTGCTGGCCCCTTTGTTTGTATGGGCTCTTGTCTGCCTCTCCCGGACCTGCCCATACCCCTTGCTTTCCCACTTATTGTAGTCTAATCACTCACCCCATTTCATAATCTGCTCTGTGCTGTCCTTTCTCAGTATCTGACAAAAAGAACTTGGGTTCACAAAAACTTGTGATATATATATGTCTTACTTAGTTAGTTTATCTCAGATGGCTACTCAGGAGAACAGGAAAAAGAGGGCCTCCTTATCTCTGGTTCAAAGATGCTTGCAAGAGAGATATGGAGGCAATAAACATGAAGCCAAACAACTGGGAGAAGATTGCTGAGGGTGGAAGTGTTTGGAAACAGCCTGTTAAGCATAGAATGAAGGCTTTGGAGGACAGAAAAGCCCAACATGCAAAGGAAAAAGGGAACCACATTCAGGATGGTTTGAGATGAACTTCAAATGTGATAAGTGCAAAAAGGGCCGTCATCAAGAATTGGTCTTTGCAGCCATACTTGCAGAGGTTCAGTAAGCTGATGCTTTACTTGGAGCAATTCTACTGTCTTGTGAGACATGCAGATGCCTACTACTACAATTTAGTCTATGAAGGTGCATCTCTATGCTGCCTTTTGTCTGACTTCAGACTAACATGGCTAAACATATCTCTCCTTTCCAGACATTGCTTTCCAGCCAGTGGCCTACTTACCACAGGAGGGGCAGAGGATGCTCTCAGCCCTACCCAGTCCATGGCTTGTTGGTTAGCATATAGGGAGATGTGGACTCACCACCTCTTAATGAAAATGGCCCATAACCCAGGCCTTCCACTTCCAGGACAAGTATATTTTGCTTTTGGGCAAAGGGTAAACATCATCATCAACTTTGTGCTATTTTTCTCCACTTAAAAAATTCAGAACTTATGTCCTTCCAAGAACAGAATTGCTGTGTGACAGAGACTAGATGGATGTAGAGGTTTTAGCATTTTGGAGGTTGCTGCATGGGATGGATTAGAACCGTGTTTAGTGACATATAGTAGAATCTAGGTCATAGTCGCCCATTGAATAAAAAGTGTCATTTTTACATGGCCAATTTTCAAAGTAAAACTATGCCTTAAGGCTCAGTCTGACACCGAGAATCAACTGAATCAACTGAAATATTCCTACTGCCTTAAATGGGAGCTGGAAGAGGCACTGGTTTACTAAATTACAAAGTTCTTCTTCCCTTTTAATACTATTACAAGTACGATTTTCTGTCTTAAATGGTCCCCAGCCCCTTAAACAAATCATAAAATTCAACCCCCAAGGTTTTTAGCATGTCAAAGAATAAGTGGCTTGTCAAAATACAAAAAGACTTTCCTTAACATATCTGGGATCTGACAGTTTTAAGCTGGTTAGACCAGGACATCATGACAAGAAATCTTTAGGCTTGCCTTTGGGATCATTTGAATGATATTCCATGTCTGCAGATATTTATTCATTCAGATTAGTAACTGCTCCAGACACCATACAAAATATAATTTAAAAAAATCCAGTCTCAGTAGGTCAGGAAGACCATTACTGGGCCTCTCTATTTTTGCAACAAACTTTTAATTCACTTACCCCAAGAACTTCCTCTGGGCCCACCTCTGAAAATGTCTGAGAGGTGCTATTTCATGCAACATGCCTTGACAGGCACTAGATAAAGTGTCTGGTGAGCAATGAGGAAAAAGTAAAGGAGGAACAAATAAAAAATTCCTCAATTATGATATGATACTGCGTTCCACCAGAGACCTCCCAGCCAACTTTAAGAATCTAAGCTGGTTACAGCACCTATGGTTTCTTAAGTACCCAAGACCCAAAACAGTCAAAGTGGTACAAATTAAAATGTCTGCCTTCAAGTGTAATCCAGAGGCATATCCACCAACTTCATAAGACCTAAATGTGAGACTGAAATCCAAAAAATGAAGTACATAAGGCAAATTATTAATTCTAGAAACAGTGATGTAAATCCATCCTTATCATGTAGCCAGTATTTTCTGTAACCTGCTTCCTTGATGCTTCATTCCTAATTTATAGATTTTTCAATAGCAAATATACACAAACATAAATGTTGTGCACAATGTAAATAGCTTTGGGGGTCTAAAATAAGCAATATTCCTTGAAATGAGGGAAAGTTATGATGCATGCCCAGAAATCAATTGGCAGCAAAGCGGATAGAGAGAGGGGAGTTTGGTCCCAACAATGTCAATTCAGCACCTTTCAGCAGCCCTTATTTGTCTTTAAAATGTATTTATTTGCTGTAAAACACTGATACAGAGGAACAGTGCTGTGTACATCAATAACAACAATGACTAATAATGAATGTTGTGTAAAGGAATGCAATACAGCGAGACAAGCTAGCCAAGGGAGTTTTCCGAGCAAACATTTTTTGGCATCCAGTTAAGATTATATGTAATAAATCCTAAATGCATAAAGAGGAGTCATGGAACCTCCTTGAGCGGTGGTTTTCAAATACCTGTTTTCATTTCCTCCACCAGCTTAATCACTTGTCCCCCCAAATTCCAAGTGACTGAGCATCACCATATGTAATAGAAAAGCTGCTTAAGTGAAAGCAATGCTTACTACACTCCACGCTTTCATCTTCATCAAATGCATTCAGTCTGATAGAAACACAGCAAGCTATGTGCCAAGGTACATCAGTATCAAACTATTATGGTAGGGTTACCATATTTCCAGTATCAAAAAAGAGGACACCTGTGGGGGGAGGAGGGGGAGAAGAGGGGAAAGGGCAAGGAGGAGCAGGAGGGAGGGGGAGGAGATAGGGAAGGGGTATATGATTGGGGGGGGTGCAATAATACGCCCATGCCCCACCTCTGCCCCTCACTCCTAAGCCACGGCCCCCCCAGCCCTGCTGCTGGCTCTTACTCATGATTGGCTGTACCCTGCCCCCAGCCCTGCCAGTGCCCCTTACTCCTGACCCACAGCCCCTACCCTGCCCCTCCAGCCCTGCAAGTGCCTCTCACTCCTGACCTGCAGCTCCCTGCCCCCCAGCCCTGTCAGTGCCCCTCACTCCCAACCCGTAGCCCCTGCCCCCAGCCCTGTTGTCCACACAGTTGCATACATGCACACTCTCTCTGTCTCTCTACCTGGGATCAGCTGCCAGGGCTTTCATGCAGAGCACATGATTCCCCAACAGCC